TAAGTTCTTGTCTTTTAAGTCTTGTATGTGGGTTCCAAGTTAGTCTTTTGTCTAGAAGGAAGCCAAGGTAACGGACTGTATCTGAGTAGGGAAGTGGTATTGAATTGAAAAGGATTGTGGGACAGGATCTGCGTCGCAGGGTGAAAGTAATATGTTTGCATTTTGCTTCATTGATTTTGATGCGCCAGTTGTTGCACCACTGTTCAATCAAGGAGAGGTGAGATTGTAGGTTTAGAGATGCTATTTGAGGATCTGAGTGGGAAGATAGAATGGCAGTATCATCAGCAAATGTAGCTAGGAAGGTATCGGGATTTGAAGGGATATCGGCAGTGAAAAGGATGTAGAGAACTGGACCCAAAACACTGCCTTGTGGAACACCAGCCTCAACTGGATAGTAAGTGGAGAATTCGGTGCAGCAACGGACTTGGAAGGAACGATTTGAGAGATAGGATTTGAGGACTAGGTATAAGGATTGGGGTAAATGGGTTTTGAGCTTGAAAAGCAAGCCATCGTGCCACACCCGGTCGAAAGCTTGCGCTACGTCCAGAAAGGCACCAGTGCAATATTGCTTGTTTTCAAGTGCAGAGGATATATGGTCCACAACACGAAGGCCTTGTTGGACAGTGGAATGTCTTGAGCGGAATCCAAATTGATGAGAAGGGATGTTGTGGGATTCGAGTATGGGTAGGATGCGTTTGAGGAGGATTTTCTCAAAGATTTTTGAGAGGATAGGGAGTAAGCTTATCGGTCTGTAGGATGATGTGTTATTAACGGGTTTGCCTGGTTTTGGAAACAGCACGATTATGGAATGTTTCCACACCAAAGGAAAGTTGGTTGTGCGAAGGATGCAGTTGTATAGATAGGTAAGGAATATGATTGCTTTTTTGGGAAGTTGTCTGAGGATTTGTGAAGTGAGGAGATCATATCCAGGGGATTTTCGGGGTTTTAATTTGTTTATGAGAAATTTTACCTCAGAGGGGTTAACAGGTTTTGGAGGTAGAGAGAGAGGAATTGGTGAAGAGAGAAATTCTTTAACTTCAGCAGTGTGGGTGGGATGGAGTTCGGGATGGGGAGTGAATGTGTAGGATAGATGTTTAGCAAACTCTTCAGCTCTATTCGCATCTGACGAAGCCCAGGAACCATCATCACGGCGGAGGGGGTGGGAAATGGATTGGAATTTAAGGATTTTTTTAGTTACAGTCCAGAGGGAGTTATCACTAGATGATAATGAGGAAAGGTAGGAATTGTAGGATTGGGTTCTAAAGATATCCAGTTTCTTTTTTACCTGTTTGGAATAATAATTATACGATTTCCGGTCATCAGGATGCCTGGTTCTTTGCCAGAGGGCCCTAGAGCATCGTTTGCTATGGATAAGGTCCAATAGGTCTTGGGGTAGAGGATTTATACTGAGGTGTTTTTTGGGACGATCAGGTGAGGATGCAGTCCAAACTGCTTGCTGGATCAGGGTAGTGAAGGAGTCCACTGCATCGTCAAGGTCTTCAGGTGTTTTTAAGGAAACTCTGAGGTCTATATTATCATCCAATATTTGACGGAAAAGGTTCCAGTTAACTGGTCCCCTGATAAATGAAGGAGGGGATGATTTAGGAATGGGTGATGTGGAAACGGTCAGGACTATAGGACTGTGGTCTGAGGAAAGATCATCAAGCCTTGAAATGGAACAGTGTAATGATCCTAGACCTTTGTGTAGGAAAAAGTCTAGAAGGTCGGGATTGCGGTTGGGATCTGTTGGCCAGTATGTGGGAGTATTAGGTGAAAGGATGTTGCTGCGATGGGAATTAAGTGCAGATAGCAATGTTCGCCCTCGGGAATTTGTGGATCTGGCTCCCCATTGCTGGTGTTTTGCATTTAAATCTGCACCTAGGATGAAATGGTGTCCTAAGGAATTCAGGAAGGAAATTATTTGGGATTCGGAAATGGGTATTTTAGGCGGGGAATATGCCGCAACTAATGTTATTGGGTAAAGGGAAGTTTGGATTATTACGGCAGTGGATTGTAGGAAATTATGGGTTGGTATGGGAAATAAATGATGGGAGAGAGATCGGTGGATAATTATAGCAGTGCCAGCATGTGCTGTTCCATCAGGATGATCGGTTCTATAAATATTGTAGCCAGGAACGTTGATTTGTCGTTTGTTGGTTAGTCGGGTTTCAGTTATTAGTGCTATGTCGATGTTTTTGTCATGTAATAAGATTGTCAGTTCGTTGATGTGATTTCGAATACCATTCGCATTCCATAGGAGAATGGAGAGGGATTTGGTTGAGGACATTTATGGATTTCTCGGCGGTGGAATGAGGTTGGATATAACATTGGTAAGTAATGAAATAAGAGGGGTGATGAGGGATCTAAATTCAGAGAGGAAAGAAGTTAATAGGCTTGTGAGGTCAGTGGAATTGGAAGGAGGAGGAATGTATGTCTGGGTATTGAACCTAGGTTCAGGGATGGATGGATATGGGTCTTGAGGTTGATGTGTGAATTCTCGAGGTTGAGGTTCTTGTGGCAGGGCCTGAGATTGAGTGTTTATAGTGTCTCCTTTGAACATCTGAGCATAGGTCACTCTTCCGTTCACTGTTCTAGAGGGTTGTCTTGGTGGCCTGGATGTCCCTTCTTCTCTAGGAGTTGCGTACATTCTTGTTTTTAATTCTTTATATGTTTGACAACCCTTGTAGTTGGCAGGGTGCCCTTGGTGGCATAAAGCGCATACTGCAGGTGAAGTTCTAGACTTCCTACATTCTTCTGTTTTGTGTTGCTCACCACACCTCACACATCTAGGAATGTGATGACAATATCTTTTCGTATGGCCATAAGCCTGACAGTTATGGCATTGAACGATGTCGCGCTTGGTGTAAGGCTTTTCTACTACAACGCTGGTGTAATAAAGGCGTGTGACCTTGTAGATGTCTTCGACCTGGGGCGTTCGGTCAAGGTCAACGAAGAATAGTGGGAGCGGTATTTTACTTTTTATTCCAGGCTGTTCTCTATCCTCCTTGAATATGTTCACTATCTGGCGAACATGGAATCCCATACCCACGAGCTCTTCTTTTATAGCATCTGTTGGCGTAGATGGGTGCAGTCTTCTGATAACGACCCTGAGCGCCCTCTCTTGACGCAGTTGATACGTGTGGTAATCAGCCTTGGTGTCAGATAAATATTTTATAATTTTTCTGTATGTTTCTGGAGTGTCGGGCATTAATTTAGTGTCATTGGTGCGGCTTTGGCATAAATATTTTCCTGAGCCCACTAGGTTATTCAATTGGTGACACATTAACTGAAAGTTTTTAATATTCCTAAGGAATATTGGTGGGGGTTTGGGTTCCCTGGGGGTGGGTGCTGCTTCCATTTCTTCGTTTTGTGTATTTGATAGCACTTGAAATGGGTTCTGAGTGAAAAACGGCGATTCTTCACCAGTTTGAGTTGTCTCATGATTGTTTTGTTGTTGTGAGGTACCAGGTTGGGGATCCACTTCTTCAACAGAGCTCCCTGGTGTGGCTGGTGGAGTATTTCTTTTCGAACGTCTTGTTCTTTTTTTAATAGGAGAACTCATTGTAGTATCGAGGCTTCTGGACCTAGTATTTTTACCCTTGCTCGACATTAGCATATGATAATATCGCATTTCATATTATAAATGATAGGAAAAATTGTTAAATGAGAAGCGATAACAATTTTTTTTTTTTTTTTTAAGCACGGAAATATATACGCGTGCTTAGAGAGGACTAGTCGGCACAGAACCTCCTCGGACGGAGAGCCAGAGCCCACTGGTGGGATTAGCGATGTTATGGCCGGCCGTTATCAGTAACTAACCTGAGGTCTATTTACACTGTTCACTATTGAGCTGTAAATAAGTGATTACTCACCTTATTCTTTTGTTCAGTAACAAACTTAATTGTTAATATAACAGGTAACACTGTTGTTTCGCATTGAAGTTGAACACTGCCACTATTAATGAAGAATTTTGTAAGAGACGACCTGACGTATGTTTAACTTAGGCTAACGCATGCGCAGAACGATCATAGTATTAGGCTCAGTGGTTGGTAATGTATGCGACCCTGTTTCGCAATCGGTGCATTTTCATTTTTTACTGGCTTCTTTTAGGCCTTCTGATTCTGTAAAATCTATTTTAATGCATTTAGCATGAAATATCTTTTGACATGTAACACAAGCCAATTTGTTCCTGTCTTCTCGACCTAACGCTTTTCCTCATATTTTTCAATTTACCATATTGAAAAAATAAAATAAATATATAACTGTCACAATTTCTTTAAAGGGATGAGAGAAAACGAAAGTAATGACAACAAGACACACCTTTTTGTTTGGGTGAAGGCTGATCTGTTCTATACGAACTGTATATCTATATGAAAGTATATGAACTGTTCTATCTTTCCTAGCATTTGAACATAGGGACCTTGATTGTTCACAAATCTTGTGGGTTACCTAGGTGGTTTGGAAGTCCTGGAGGTCTCTTCCTGTCTAGGTGCTGTCTCAGGTTTTAAAATTTTGTTTGTCTGGCATCCCTTGTTGTTGTTTGCTGGGTGACCTTGATGCTATAATGCGCACACCGCAGGAGTTTTCTTTGACGCTGTGTATTCTTTTGACTTGTGTTGTTGGCCGCACTTAAAACACCAAGGTAGGCGGTGACAATAGCTTTTCACTGTGGTATTAGTGCATATTATGGTCGAGGTGTTTAGCTCACATATAGACACAGTTTTAATAAAACATTACACTGTTTTCCATAGAAAAAAGTGAATATGTTTAAGAGAAAAGGTAACAGTTGACTATTAAAAATTAGCGCATGGGCAGAAATCATGATGATCTAAGTGAACAAATGTTGGATGTTCTTGTTGATCTATTTGTTGCAAAATTTTCCTTAAAGCTCATTTTTAATAGGTGAATAGAAAATATAATGTGAAACATTTCTTATAATATTTCATTTTCCATCTCTTCAATAAATTGCTCATGTTTTAAATTCTTTATTTTTAAAACAGATATGCATGTTTGGTTTCATCATTCTTGGCTTGGATTGAAAGTTTTAGCTTCTGAAGCATTTATAACAGCAATACACAATTTCACAGTCCTTCCAAAGGAGTCTCTCAAAATGATGATAAAGGTTAGAATAATTAAAATATAAAAATAGAATAACAATTTTTTTTCTAATTTAGATTAAAATTTGTTCTAGGTTGTTGGATTAGGCCCAAGAATGAAAATTATGATTACATTAGAAAATTTGTCCCAAAATGTGATTCCGCAAGGTCTTAAAATAACCTTTATCTTTGATCCAAAAATATACAATATCAACGCACCAGTAATAAAGGTATAAAAATTAATTAATTTTTAATGAATAAAAAAACAAAGATTTTAATTTTATTAATTGGTGCTTGAAGCATTCTGTTTCAAAATCAGTTACATTTTATTATTAAAAATACGCGACTAGTTCACAAACACTTTATTATTTTAAGATTTTTATTAAGTGTTATGACCAAAAAAAAAAAGGATAAATGAAAAAATAATAAAATAATTTTTAATAAATATAATTTTCCATAAAGGAAGGAGATGGTCCGGGGTTGCGGTCATAAAAAGGCTAAATAGTGGTAAAACTATTTTATTGAAAGCCAACGTTTCGACCCGACTTTGCAGGTCTTCATCAGGGCTAGAACGGACAAGATACAAAAAGATTGAGAATTGTGGCAATTACATAATATTTAGACATAATTTATAAACAATGTGAATAAGCTTATTAGAATTATAAACAGTAAGTACAATTAAATATGGACTAAGTAAGCTGAGTAACAAGATCCTAAAATAAATTAAATAGATGTTAACAATTGTTGTAGTGTAATATATAACAAATGAAAATGTGAGTATAATTCTACAAAATCTACAGGAGAAAAAAATAAGATTAGAGACTTAAAGGTGTGTTCCTCTAGGAGTGGCAGCGGTAAGGATTGCAGGTATAGGGGGAGTTAACATGTGTTAACTAAGTAAAGATTGAAAAACCCAGGAATGTACAGTACCTAGGAATGTTTGAAGATATGGATGGATACAATGGAAAAATACTATATCTATGAAATATTAAATTATAAATATATAAGTATACATATAAAATAGAGTTGAGAGATGTGAGAGGTATTTCATGATTCTGGATCAGAGTACAATGTAAATAAACACAAAGTTGGTAAAAAGTAAAATGTAAATATAGAAATAACTTCATTAACATACATACATTGCAGAGCTAACTTAAAAGTATAGAGAGGGAAAAAAAAAAATATATATAGGGTGGTCAAACATTGGTGTAGAGTGTAAATGTAAATTTAGAATAAAATAGAAGAGAGATCATACAAAGAAGGAATATTTAGAATAATGAACAATTAAATGAATTAATTAATAAAAATTGAGAGTAGATGAAAATAATAGAATAGAATATTTAAGTTATTTTTCCCTTATAAGACTTAAAATGTGTCTATATGTAAGAGAAATACAGTTTTTGTCTACTTTGTGATTATCGGGATTGTGTTCCATGTGAATGTGGATAGATTCGGAAATGAGTCTTTTTTCATGGTTAGGGACCGTGGAAAGGATAGAGGTTTTTTCAAAATAAAATGAGTGGTTGAGTGTTAAAGCATGTTCTGATAGTTTGGAGGCGGAAGGATTCCGGGAAGTTATGGACGTTTTATGTTGAGAAATGCGGGTTTTGAGATAGTTTTTGGTTTCACCAATATAGGAGCTATTGCAATTAGGAGTAGAGCTAGGTATCCGGTAAACTACATTGGATCGGTGTTGTAAGAGTACGGGATCCTTCAAGTTGGTGAAAAGGGAAGAAAGTTTGTTATGGGACTTAAGGCCAAGGCGTAAGTTGGTTATAGTCGATTTTAGGAATTTTTGTATATTGTCTGAGAGGATAGGGATATAGAGGAGAGATTTTTATATGAAAGGAGTGGTAGATGATTGTGGAGAGTTGAGAGAATGGGAGGCTGTATTGTTTTTGGTTGTATAGCAATTTAAAAGTTTATGTATGGTGTTCAGAGGAAAATTGTTAGAGAGCAGTATATTTTTGACACGCTGAGTGTTGGCTAGATGGTATTATGGATCGGATAAGGAGAGGGATCGGTGAATAAGGTTTTTGGCGGTATTGATTTTTTGGTGATATGGGTGTTGGGAGTAATAATTGAGTAGTCTGCCTGAGTATGTAGGTTTAGTGTACCAGTCAGTAGAGACAGAACCGTCAATGTTTTTCACTATTAGGAGGTCTAAGAAGGGGAGCGAATTGTTTTCTTCTTTCTCTATGGTGAAACGGAGACGGGGGTGATAGGAGTTGAATAAGGAAAGAATTTGGGGGATGCTGTCAGGGTTAATAACAAGGTGGAGGTCATCAACATATTTTTTTATGAAAATGATGTCTTGATGAAAAGAAGGGATAACAGAGTCAAGAAGGTCATTGAGAACAATATCTGAAATATCTGGTGCTAAGGAATTTCCCATGGCTAGGCCAGAAATCTGATGAAAGAATTTTCCTTGGAAGCTGGGGGCGTTAATAATGGAGATGATAGGGCGGAGGGGATTTCCAGGTTTGTGAATTTTTGGGAGTCCATATAAGCGGGGTGCTAGGGAGTTGTTGTTGTGGGAGTTAAGGATAAATCTTTAAAAAACTCAGGGGATAAAGTGGAAGAACGGGATGGAGAGTGTTGGAGGTGGTTAGAAATCATATTACTGATCCGAATGCGACCTCCAACACTCTCCATCCCGTTCTTCCACTTTACCCCCCGAGTTTTTTAAAGATTTATCCTTAACCCGCTCTTTCTTGAAAACAAACGACCACCTCTTTATTACTAAGGCTGACAAGGGAAATTCGACCGTTATTATGGACAAGACAGAATACACACATAAAATAAACCAACTACTTTCAGACCAAACAACTTACGCACCCTCCCCCCGTGACCCAACCCGTACACTAATGCTAAAATTTGACCACCACATTAAAAACTTACTAGAGACTAAACAAATTAACCGTCCCACTTACTGCAACCTTATATCCTACAACTCCCTAGCACCCCGCTTTTATGGACTCCCAAAAATTCACAAACCTGGAAATCCCCTCCGCCCTATCATCTCCATTATTAACGCCCCCTCAGCTAAACTCAGAAAATTTCTTTTACACTCTCTCCAAAAACTTAGTCACAATAATCCTTACGACATTCATAATTCATTCCATCTTAAAGAAGAGTTATCTTCGCTCCATATTCCTGATAACTTTATCCTGGTTTCCCTAGACGCCGAAAGCCTTTTTACCAACATCCCAATAGACAAAGCCCTAGACATTGTAGAGAAAAACTGGACAATCATTGAACCTCACACCATCCTTAACCTTTCCTCATATCTTGAATCCCTTGAGCTTTGTGGCAGATCCGGTTTCCTCAGCTTCCAAGGAAAATTCTTTCATCAGATTTCTGGCCTAGCCATAGGAAATTCCTTAGCACCAGATATTTCAGATATTGTTCTCAATGACCTTCTTGACTCTGTTATCCCTTCTTTTCATCAAGACATCATTTTCATAAAAAAATATGTTGATGACCTCCTCCTTGTTATTAACCCTGACAGCATCCCCCAAATTCTTTCCTTATTCAAATCCTATCATTCCCGTCTCCGTTTCACCATAGAGAAAGAAGAAAACAATTCGCTCCCCTTCTTAGACCTCCTAATAATGAAAAACATTGACGGTTCTGTCTCTACTGACTGGTACACTAAACCCACATACTCAGGCAGACTACTCAACTATTACTCCCAACACCCATATCACCAAAAAATCAATACCGCCAAAAACCTTATTCACCGATCCCTCTCCTTATCCGATCCATAATACCATCTAGCCAACACTCAGCGTGTCAAAAATATACTGCTCTCTAACAATTTCCCTCTGAACACCATACATAAACTTTTAAATTGCTATACAACCTAAAACAATACAGCCTCCCATTCTCTCAACTCTCCACAATCATCTACCACTCCTTTCATATAAAAATCTCTCCCCTATATCCCTATCCTCTCAGACAATATACAAAAATTCCTAAAATCGACTATAACCAACTAACGCCTTGGCCTTAAGTCCCATAACAAACTTTCTTCCCTTTTCACCAACTTGAAGGATCCCATACTCTTACAACACCGATCCAATGTAGTTTACCGGATACCTAGCTCTACTCCTAATTGCAATAGCTCCTATATTGGTGAAACCAAAAACTATCTCAAAACCCGCATTTCTCAACATAAAACGTCCATAACTTCCCGGAATCCTTCCGCCTCCAAACTATCAGAACATGCTTTAACACTCAACCACTCATTTGATTTTGAAAAAACCTCTATCCTTTCCACGGTCCCTAACCATGAAAAAAGACTCATTTCCGAATCTATCCACATTCACATGGAACACAATCCCGTTAATTACAAAGTAGACAAAAACTGTATTTCTCTTACATATAGACACATTTTAAGTCTTATAAGGGAAAAATAACTTAAATATTCTATTCTATTATTTTCATCTACTCTCAATTTTTATTAATTAATTCATTTAATTGTTCATTATTCTAAATATTTCTTCTTTGTATGATCTCTCTTCTATTTTATTCTAAATTTACATTTACACTCTACACCAATGTATGACCACCCTATATATATTTTTTTTTTCCCTCTCTATACTTTTAAGTTAGCTCTGCAATGTATGTATGTTAATGAAGTTATTTCTATATTTACATTTTACTTTTTACCAATTTTGGGTTTATTCACATTGTACTCTGATCTAGAATCATGAAATACCTCTCACATCTCTCAACTCTATTTTATATGTATACTTATATATTTATAATTTAATATTTCATAGATATAGTATTTTTCCATTGTATCCATCCATATCTTCAAACATTCCTAGGTACTGTACATTCCTGGGTTTTTCAATCTTTACTTAGTTAACACATGTTAACTCCCCCTATACCTGCAATCCTTACCGCTGCCACTCCTAGAGGAACACACCTTTAAGTCTCTAATCTTATTTTTTTCTCCTGTAGATTTTGTAGAATTATACTCACATTTTCATTTGTTATATATTACACTACAACAATTGTTAACATCTATTTAATTTATTTTAGGATCTTGTTACTCAGCTTACTTAGTCCATATTTTATTGTACTTACTGTTTATAATTCTAATAAGCTTATTCACATTGTTTATAAATTATGTCTAAATATTATGTAATTGCCACAATTCTCAATCTTTTTGTATCTTGTCCGTTCTAGCCCTGATGAACACCTGCAAAGTCGGGTCGAA